GGAAATGAAAAAATAGTAGAGCAAAGGCACAAAGATGAAAAATTTAAAAGCAATAAAGGAATTAAATGAAAGCTCAGAAAAGTACCTATTGCCCAACCACATCTGAGGATTTTGTGGAGATTGTGCTTCAAGTTGGAAAGATTCAAGGTATCCATAAAGCCACACACAGTTTGCTCGTTGATGACTATGGTGACTGCCTTCTCCACTTGCCCCACCTGAGCAGAAGGTATCAGTGCTCAGTACTACTACCTTGATATGATCACCAAAAAATTCTTCATGGGTTTCTATTTTGGGAAAACACTGCTCAGCCTCATCCATTGAAATCTAACATGTTTCATCAAGATTCTCTATACCTACGGGCTTCAGCTGAACTTGCCTTATCACCACCAGGGTATCAACTCCTATGGGTTGAAAAATAGTAACATATGCTATCATTTTTGATGCTCTTTTATGTGCCAGACATGCATTATGCCATTTGATTTTCATAAAAACCCTCTGATATAGAGATAATTATCCCCACTTTGCAGATGAAGATGAGGCTTACAGATCTCAAGTACCATGTAAAAGGCCACATGGATTGTAAGTGGCAGCACATGTCTTGGAAGTGACACCAGGGATGGAACTTGAACCTCCTAAACACTGTCTTATTCAGCCTCTTCACACTCCATGATATAGTTTGAACTCACATACCCAATAAACGACATAACAAAAGCACTTATCCATCAAGAAAACGCTATACAGTATTTTTCTTAGTTGTTCATGAATTGCCCTAAATTTACAAAGTTTTATTGTATTAAACAAAGTTACACAGGTTTGTTAAAATAGTTCTCAGGCATTTTAAAAAGCTAATGGGCAAAAGAGGACCAATACTTTGGACTAATTCTCATTCTTACAGAGTATCTTTTGACACTAAGTTCATGGAACCAACATTCCTTCAGATCTTCCAACTTCTTCAGAGTGTATGAGAACACCTATTGGCAAGTATGGTATTAACTATCCTGTGTATTTTAACACGTACATTGCATTAGTGAATTTTCAGAGAAATAGGGATTGACGGCTCAGTTGTCTTACTTTCCTTGTTTGTGACATGCATGCACACACACACACACACACACACACACGAATGGCTAAATGCATTCCTAAATGAATATGGGGATTCATTAGCTTGCATGGAGGTAAAGGATTGCCCAAGTAACAACTCTTCCTAGCTAGCATGGCGGTGTGAGGTGGGGAATCTCAAAGCCCCAAGGATTTGAGACTGAAATAGACTATAACACCTGAAATCGGCAAGAATAGGTATATGACACCAACGATCAGTCAAATGCCACAAAAAATTGGTCTGTGTGTTTTCTTTGTCATACCTCTAAGAGATTCCTCATTTCCCTATTAAACAAAGTAATTTCAAATTCCTGTTGATGGTTCAACATGACAGATTCTCATTGTAGCAATAAAAACAATTTCTCATTTATCTAGAGTTTGAACATGATTTTCAATATCCTGAACATAGGAAAAACTTAGATAAATTTTGTTTATGTTCTATGTTCCTGTGCTCAATATACTATGTATATGCTTGTGTCAGAAGTTCAGTACATAGGAGAAGTATGGAGGGATGTTTATCTTTCTCCCTTTGCCCACCAAAGTCTAAATGATTTAGAATTTAATGTAAAACAAAGTGCATAAACTTGATTTTTGATTTGCTGTCAGTAAAGGAGCAATTATTAACTGCACTAAAAAATAATAAATATTAACATGAGAAAGGAGAGAGTAAAATTATAACAATCATATAAAATTATATACAAAAAGCATATGATGGGCACACCATTTGGTGTTTGGGAACAGTTGACAAATGGTTTTATCTTTTGCAATAAGTCAATGTAATGTTGGGAACAATGATTCTTATGCCATGAAGAAAAGCCTAACCTGATTTCCACTTCGGTCCACAAGGCAGAATGATATGTACTATATTTTGCTTCTGTGAAAGCAATTAACATTTTAAAAAAACTAGCCATAAAAGTTACAAACTTTACCTATTTGGAAAACTGGTTTATTTAATACAGATTACTTTCTAACTGCTCTAGACAAAGTATTACTATAGCATTGGTATGAGTTTAATAATACGAAATGAAAATAAGATCTTTAAAATCATTTTGCTTTTTTACATTTTTATAAGTACAATTGTACTTACACTTTTCAATTAAATTGATCAACTCTATTTAAATTCCAAAATAGATGATAAAAATGCAATCATTTGTTTTGATTGTTTCTTAAGAAATGCCAGGTTAAAATAAAGAGAGAAATGTGATTGTTTTCAATACTCAATTATTTTGAGCATTTTCGTTCTATATATTATAACTAATTTTGTTCTTTTCTCTTTTTCATAGGCACCAGAAGTTCAGAAGGACAAATGCAGTGATAATACAACTTAAGGCCTACACATGTGATTTTGAGATGACAACAGTTATTTGTAGATTTTAGACCATGTTCCATACTGCTAGACCGAGTACAACATGTTTGCCCTAAAATCTTTTCCAAGCTTACAATATGGTCTCTCGTTTCAAGCGATGACAAAGACAGACTGGTAATCAGAAAGCAGGAAATTCATTTTTGAAAAATTCTTAAAGATTCCTTTGAAGTGTGATATAACGCCATTTCTTCAAGTACACTGACTGCATACCCTTCAATGACTTGTTTTCACATGACTATTTACTCTTGTACTTTCCAAATTTGATTTGAATTGCATTTACACAAATACATTTTTCTATACATATTTAAAAATCCAGACCATGAACTTACTATACATATGCTGCTGAGATCTGTATGGAAGTTGTATGGCTCCAGCTAATGCAAAAAAGACTTCAAAGTTTTGAGTGAATGTGCATACAGACATAAATTATCCAAGATATTCAAAGCCATAAATTTGCTGCAGGACATATATAGCTCTCTCGTGGGCCGCGGAAGCACAACAATTCTCTTTACTTCACATTTGTCTATTATCACATTTTCTCCAAAAACCGTCACAGGCTCTCCTTCTCTGCCCACACTGTTTTTATTTCTATATTCAGAATGTGCTAACTGGTAGCAGTTGCATTTACAAAGTTAATAGTATTGGACTGCCCGAATGAATTTTAAACAGTTCTTTCCTCCTTCCTATGCTCTTAGAACACACACAGATGCTAGTAGATGCAAACTATGGGCGCAACCTGAGTTAAAAGTAAAAGGAAAAATTTTTTTGTCAAAATTATTGGAATAAATATGGTTGACCACAAGAAAGACTTTATTTGGCTGTTTTAAAAGTATTATTATATATAATCTAATATATACATATATAAAATGTATGTATACGTACATATTTCTAACAAATTTCATATATATAAATGTATATGTTAATATACATTAATACATAAAAATATGCTGTTTGAACAAGAGACAACATATTTCATTCAACGTAAGAAGGAAACTGTTTAAAATATACTATCTTTAAGCTGCAGTTATTACTGGAAGTTTCAAAAGAGAGAGTTTAGAAGAAAATAGCAGTGTTTGCATTTTTTAAAAACTCGCCTAAAAAACATGAATTTCTTTTCCTAAAGTAATCTCAGGATCCTGGATAAATGTCATAATGTCCCCACAGAGTGATAAAGGGCGAGAATCCGGCCCTGAATGACTGCTACAGAGTGATTTCAGAAATATTTGAAATAACTGTCCTTCACTGAAGAGGCCATCCTCCTGTTCTGGTCCGCCCTCCACCCACTCCACCCCTCATTTTTAAATAAAAGATATTGTTGCCAAACTACCAAGTCTTAATCATTATAATAAAATTAACACCCTCTTTTCAGTGTAAAGAAAGTAATTAAGTTTATCTAAACATCTACCAGCTCTTTGTATGGAAGCTTCATAAAACCCACTTCTAAATATCTTATGCAAATATAAAAGCATAAAGTGGTAATTTCATGACTAAACATTATTTTGCCTCTTCATCTTTCAAACATACTTTCATGCACATACAACCTGTAATATAGACAGATGCGCACTTGATGCAAATTAAAATAACATTTCTTCCCATCAACAATGTAACTGCTGAATTGATAGATTTAAAAATTTTAACGACATGGATAAACATAGTCTGATAATGCTGCTTTAAGTTTATTTAAAATACGTTTTCTAAATAAAAAAGCAATATGAACAATAAAAGGGAGTACACATTTGTTTGGCACAGGTCAGACTTTACTATGATGTAATCACACATTTTACAAAAGTGTGATATTTAGTACATGGAAAAAAAAGACTTTCATCCTGCCTGTGACATTTATCAGGATCACTTTACAATCCAGACAACTGAAAGGAAAAAGTCATAGGAAGTTGAACATGTTGAGTCCAAAACAGCATTGTCTACAAAGTCCCCCTCAAATTAATAACAAATAGGAAAGTAGAGGCATTTAAGGATGTAACCCAAAAATAAGAAATTATTTCTCTACTAAGGTGTTTAGCAATAAAACACAGAATGAAAACTTCCAAAACCAAACCGTCTCTTAAAATGAAATGAAATTATAACTTATTAAAACTGTCCTTATGACGTTGTGTGGGATATGAACAAAAGAACTCCATTATTTAATTCCAGATACCTCACAAGAATTTTAGGATAGGAACCCAGATCTTATTTAAAATACATTTCTTAAAAAAGTGAAAATCCTCTAAAAGTTGTAAGTCCTGATATTTATCTAAAATCTTCAACCCAGATATCTCTCTGCAATCAGAAACTTTCCAAAAAAATTGGAATTATTTAGAAGACCAAACCCAATTTTTTCTCACATGAAATTATTCCATTGGAACAAAACACCCATGTTTCAAATTGAGAAAACATTAAGAAGATTTAATAATCTAGTTAAGGCATGCTGAAAACCGAGAACGCCCTGCCAATTTCCACATTGAATTAAAACAGCCAATCCTCAGCAGTGTCTTTTATGGAAATAAAATCAGGCGCATCATGAAATCTGTCACCGTACCTGCGTGCACTTTAAGCGACTACGGCACATACGCTGTAAAATCTTCACTCTGAGAAATCAACCACAGTGCATTTAACTGCTGCAAAACACTGCTGCAGAGGAGTCCAGGGCATTTTTTTTTCGGGCAACTGATCCAGCTTTCCACCAGCCCTGTGACCTTTGAACTCCCTTCTGCCCCCCCTCCTCTCGTTTCTGCAGTCAAAGCCTCAGAGCTGGTCTCATTTGCATAAGGCTCAGGCAGCCCTCCAGCAGCTGAGACGGAATGCTGGGTAAGGAATTGTGGAACCGCAGTTCTGCCAGAATACCTGAATCACCGGAGAGCCGGAATCCGCGCGGGGGAGTGGGCACGGATTTCACCCGGCTGTCAGCATCACAGCCCCCCGTGTCTATTAATGGAGAAGTGTTTTTAACCCTTTGTTTTAAAGTCCTGCTTCCCCTCCTCCCCACCAAAAGAAGCTGTCAGCAGCGACTATGGTAACCAAGGAAACCCAAATAGTCAAATACTTCATTTAAATACATGTGGAAGGCCAATTTAAAATTTTCATTAACTTCTCTTGTTTTTGAAACATAGCTATTTCTTTTCCATGGGAATACATATTGCACGCATAATCAGGGACATGGGGTATTTCTTTTTTGTTGTGGTTTAAACAGCATCTTACAGGCATAAATTTATTTTAGTTACTAGACAAATACATGAAGTCACTATAGTAATTCTATAAAACGTTAAATGTGTCCTGGTGTCTTAAAGACGATCATCCTAAATGGTGTCCAAGAAATTAATTGTAAGGAATTTAGGTCCCAGGATGCCTTTAAAACAATACAGCAGTAAAAATATACAGCGAACTTAAACTATGTATTTAAATCTAAAGATTCTTGTAGCAGTAATGCTTGCCTGCCTTTGGCAAAGATGTTCAATGTTCTGCTATTATTTGCTAGAATTATTTCTTCCCTTGCCTTCCTACACACAACAGTCTCTCCATTTAAAACATAAACTTCTCTATTGCTCATAAACCTAAGAAGTGGTTATTTTCGAGATACAGAAGGTCATGTGTGTACATATTTTTATAAATACACATGAAAGCACATATTCTCCTTTTCTAAACGGTAAGTCAATGGAAATAGGCATCACCACATAATCCATTCTTCTTTTTAAAATTAAGCTAATTTGTTTTTGTCCATTAGTGAGTGAATAATATCTATGAAATGAGGTTTTATGCAATAATATTTTCCATCTATCAAAAGAAATAGAACATGAAAAATAAAAGGCACACAACAGATTAATGTAGGTATGTAATATATTACTATAGTTAAACATAAATGCATTAAATGCATTGTCCTAGGAGCTAGCATTATTATTTCAAAATTTTCTTATTTAAAAAATTTTTTATTTAAATAATTAAATATTCCAAACCTTCCTCTTGCAGTATACCAAAAGACATCAATAAATTCTGAGTGATATATTACCCCATTTATAAGACATGTAAACTATTGCAATACAGGATTTTTTAGTACTTAAAAAATAAATTTGAAGCTTTTTATTTGAGCTATTTATTAGTAGTATCCTGCTTTATATTATTTCTGCATATATGGAAGATAAGAAGTTATTGGATGAATTTTTCTTACCCATAAATTTTTAAATAGCATAAATAACTTTTCAGTTTACTATAATCATATAAACCTTTCTCTATCACATCTTACTACATCAACAATTGAATCACCTTGGGTCAATTCAAGTGCATCCTTCATATTACACACTGCAAATATCTTGCAAAGTTTTTGTTTAAGGCAAAACACATCAGCCCATCCTAACTGAAATCCAAACAGAAGGAAGTCTTGGAGTAATTTATAAAATCACTGACCTGTTCAAATAGCTGTAGTCTTAGTCCTTGCACTCTTTATTCATTAGAATCCAAAATAAATTGATTATCATTTTAGAATATGTGTCAGCATCACCGAGGGCACTGTTCTTCCTGGTTCAGCGGAATCGTCTTAAATTTGCCAGCCCTGTGTTTTATTGCTGGTACCGTATGCTTTATTGTTCAGCGACAAGAGCTTCACTCTGCACAAAGCCTCATTACCTACTGCTTGCTGCACGGCATCAGCCTCACTGAGGCTGCCTATACGTGATCACATGGGAGTTTTGTCTGAGAAAGCCAGGCATGCCACTGACTTCACTGTGTCTATGGATATTTTTATCAGCTGAGGTCTGCTAGGAGGAAGGAATAACAGATTATGAAGCTGCTCTAAGTCATTAACGCAGCACAACTTATGGAAATCCCTTCACAAGATTTTTTTTATTATAGAAAACGTTTGAGCAGACGTTCAAAAGAAGTTAACTAGATTTTATTTTAATAAGAGACTGAATAATAATTTAAGGAAGGGGAACTAGCAAAAGGCTGTTTCCTACCTTCTGCTTTCTGAAAGTACTTTTGTAAAATGTTATAAAGAGCCTGGCTCAACTGAATAATCTGACAGTGTGTTTTAACCTTTAGATGGCTGGTGTGTCTCTTTCTTGGAGGTTATTTTCTAAAAGGATAAGTGGCTGTTTGCCTCAAACTCTCCTCGAGGAAAATCTCCATCACTAATAGATACTATAAATGAATAAAAATAAAGACATTCTAATTACTTTTGATAAAGTAGATGAGAGGGAGAGTCCCTTTTATTGATGTATGTAAATGAGGAAGATGATTAATTTATCTTCTCAAAAGATGACACATTCTTACAACAGCTGACTTAAAAGAACAATGGAGATTTCATTGTAAAGATATGAAGGACATGTGGTTCATATTAATTCTTAAAATCGCGGTAACTTATTTTAGACAGCTTCCCTCAGTAAAGCATACAGTTTACCTTATCTGATTTCAGTGTTATCAAGTAGTTTCAGAGATGACTACTCAACATATACAGGGGTTTTCTGATGTATAGATATCAAATTAATATATATACATATATATGAGTATGTGTATATGTGTCTATACACATATATATGTATGTGTTGTATATATATCTATATATACACACACGTGTATATATTTATACACACACACACACAGATTATCTTTCTAAAATATTAAAAAAAATAATTACCTAAAATTATTTCTCAGAGTTTGAAAATAAATTGTGGACTTCCAAATGAAAAAACCATTTACTTATTGGAATTTGATGAAAAAAATTGATTTCTTATCTCTTTAATAATCTGTCTAAATTGAATTGGTAATTGAAAGCTTGTTGCTTGTTAATGTCAGTGGAAATCTTATGACAAATACATGAAAAGTGTAACAAAGAGCACAGAGGGAAAAGTCAGAAACACTGTAAATGAAAAGCAGAAAACAAATTTTCGGTATAGTTAGATATATAGTACATTTTAATAGTGTTTCTAAATAATACAGTAATCTTAAAAATAGTAAATATATATACCTACTTAAGCTTTCCATTGAAATTAATTATTTTCTGGAAATAATTATAACTTAAAAATTTTCTGTGTCAACTGAAATTTTTAAAAATAATTTTAAGCCAGAATAGGGAATTGTGGCTATATAGTCCGGTCTTGATGATTTAACATCAGTCTTTATAATATTTTTTTGTAGGGTTAGCATTGACTTAGAATGTTTCATGGCTTAAATAAAAGTCTTTCGGTGGATTTTTCTTAACATTGAAAAAAATATTCAGATATGTTGCAAATGCCACCATTTTAATGCATTTGTTGCAAAATGCTCATATTCATTTTTTCCTCTGCACACAAGAGCTGTGCTAAAGCTACAAAATCTTGGGGCATTAAAAGAAAAAGGAAAACAGAGCGTCCCTGGCTTATGTATGCCTCTGGGTTCTTAAAGATATGTACATTCTAGCTAATATCTTTGATGATGTCATCATGTTAATGTACAAGGAAATAAACAAAAGGCAGCCATTTTTCTCTTACTGCATCACTTCAAAAACAGTGAAATAAAATGGTTGCCAAATGGAGGGGAAGAATCAGCAGAAAACTAAGTTACTTCCAAATTCTTGGGAGAGGGAGGGGGAAGGAGTGTGAAATTGGACATTAAAAACCATATATATGCAAATTTTGTATGGATGTATGTAAAGAAATAATTTATAATAAGAAAGAACTATAAATAAATACAAGGAATATAGAAATAGCTAGCAACTAAAACAAATTACCAGTAGAATAATGAGTCTCCAGTGGAAAGACTAGAGTCTATAAACTTAATGTATTAAATGTAAGGGCCTATTAAATTGATTAACATTGAAAAAAGTATTTAAAGGTGGACAACAGAGCTAGAGAGATCTAGAAAGAGACAGAATGATCAGGAAATAGTAATAATCTTCCCAGGACTACTATTGTCTTAAATGACTTTGGTGAGTTATTCTAGCATCTTATGCCTTAGTTTTCCAGTCTGCAAAACAAAAACAGAAAAGTCATTGGAAAGCATGTTATGGAAAATATACAGCAATATTTTTGTACTACAATTCCCTAAATTGGCTTTAACCAAGCATTGTCAACTAATATTACTAAAATGAGAAGAGATGATGTAAAATTCTAGTGATTGTTTAAAAGAATTTTAAAATGCTTTATTCTAATAGCAGAAACAAACAAATGTAGTAAGTAGATAGGACTTCTGGAAACAAAAGGTGATTTTTTTCTAATACATGCAGAAAAAATAAATTTAGTAAGTAATTTGAAACAAATCTCATAAAATTGCCTCAAGATTAAAACAAATTACAAAATATACTCATCCTTCCAATGAAAATTCTGGAACTCTCTGTCAGCAACATGACAAGAGAATTGCAGCAGAGTTTCTGATTTTCACATTACACAATGAACAACGGTGCCTCTGCTTATATAACAGTTTCATCAGCCAAGAGGTCTTTAGATTTGAAATTACCAGAGAAGCACAAGATCACAGTTTAAAGAAACAAATTCCATCCAAGATTTAAAAAATGTTTTAATTTACTTTGTAATATTAAAAGCTTTGATTTGAAAAAAATATTTTGATTCTTGCTAGAGTCTTATTAGCTTGGTTTTTCTCTAAAGACAAAGATGCATCATAGAATAATTTTGTTTACTCCCTTTTTCTACAAAATAACTAAAACTTATCAGAAGTATCCAAATTGTTTGCTACCCAACTCATGCAGTAATTTGGGCGTAGACATGCTAAATGGATGATCCCTTGAACATTCTACTGCATGAAGAAAGATGGAGATTTACTGGTACGTCACCTGTGTTTCCTAGGTCTGTATTAATTGGCATGTATACTAGTGCCTCCTGTTGGATTTACCTTTTATTAGGCTGGATTTTCTTGCTCCTTTTCATCTTCCTTTACAACACATTCAGAGAAGTCAAAAGCTTGGCCATATCTACCTCAAAATTCAGGACCAATTCAATTCAATTGAACAAACATTTATTGAGAGGTTACCATGTACCAAGCTCTGAAACAGTTGCTAGGGATACAAAAATGAAAGACACACTGTTTCCAAGAAGATTATAGTCTGTCTAGCCAAAAAAAAAAAAAAAAAAAAATTGCTGAACACATTATGGGAGCGTGGTAAAGCAGGAACATACTTTTTAAATTTGAATATTCTACTGACTTAACATGTGTTTCATGTACAATCAATACAACGTATTTATTTTCAATATTGTTTCATAAAATCAAAGTCATTATTGTAACCAAAAATCATTTATCAAATGTCAAATATATATATGATAGCTGCAAATTCTATGCTATCCTTCTCATCAAGAGATTGAGTCTAATTTCCCTCACCTTTATTTTAAGTTAGTCTTAATGATTTGCTTAACCAATGGAGGCTGTAGAAGTGATGTTCTGGAGATTCCAAGGCTAGTTCCTGAGAAACTTTTCACTTGAGCATCTTGGAACATTTTCTCCAGCAGCCTTGAGCTGCCATGTAAGAGGGTTGACTATCCCGAGGCTGCCATGATGGAGAAGCCACATATAGGCACTCGGGTCAATAGTCCCACAACTGATCCCAGCATTCTAGCCATCCCTGATGCCTGATACATGTGTAAAGCCATCTTGGACCCTCCAAACCCACCCAACCACCAACTGGACACCACGAAGAGATCCTAGTTGTCACTAAGTGAAGAAGAATCACTTAGCTGAGCTTTTCTAAAATTCTTATCCTATAGAATTCATAAGACATAATAAAATGTTTGCTGTTTTAAGCTACTAAGTATTGTGGTAGTTACTCAGCAATTGATAACTGGAACCTATTTACACGTGTCTCACAGAGGCAATGTAATAAAACTAAAAGTACCTGAAAGGGCAGTCTGATATACATATTCAATGAAATCAGTGAATTTCATTCAATGAAATGGATGCACTTAATGAGTGTATTAAAA